TCCATAACCTGGGATTTTTAAAATACTTTGCACAAATAATCACAATAATAAGATGATATGTCAGGCGCAAAACATGGGTCCCTACCTCCAAGGTCACACTTAGAGGTCAAATTTTTCATAGTCTGTTATAGTGTATATTTTGTGTCCGATCTATAACTTCTACATAGTTCAAGGGATTTTGAAAATACTTGGCACAAATAGTAATATTAATCAGATGATATGTCATGCACAACACCTGCACCCCTACCTCCAAGGTCAAGGTCACACTTAGAGGTCAAAGGTTAACATGACAGAATTTTACATTCCGTGTTTCATTTTACTAGTATTTCTTTAATAAATTCATTGTTGCATTGCAGATCTAGCATTGATTATAATTTTGGAATGAAAGTCCTGACATCCATACCTCAATCTTTTAAAATAGCACAATTTTATGCTTCATATAAAACTTCCCCGAGGCGGGGGACGTTGGTAACTCTGTTACAAATTCTTGTATTTTTCTTAAACTGCTTACACTTGAAATGAATACCGAACATCCTTTAGATGTTTTATTATACTAAGCAAAACATAGAAACAATCTAGTATACTATCTGACTTTCAAAAATGTTTAAGAACAGAAACATAGATACATGACATTAATTGTATCATAGTTTTGGGACATTTCTATTGAAAATGGGACAGAGTTTAATCGTTTACATATACATGCACAGTGCGTTAACTGGAGTAAAGATATTAGTTACCGGGACTCCAGAGCATGTCCATTGATTGGCTCATTTTTGCTGGGGGTTACTTATTGTGACGACAGAGAAAGGGAAAGCGATACAGATGTTCGTTCATTGGTTACTTTTTTTTCTGGGGTTTCATATTGTGGCAACAGGAAACGTGTTTTTATGTTTGACTATGATACAAAAGAGAAAGAACATCAAAACAATCTGATTATACTAAGGGGCTACGTTTCCCCCCCCCCCCCCCCCCCCCCCCCCCCCCCCCCCCTCGTACAAATCAGATACCCTCGTGTTTCGATGTTCTTCCTATTACTTAGAATATAGGTTTGAAACGTCAGATAGATTTACCGCTTAAATAGATTGCAATTTCCCTATCTTTAAGAGTAGACATCCCGTACTATACTCGCTTCCCAAACCTAAGGCCAGCCATCATTGATTCGAGTATATACGAGGTGTGAGTGAAAAGTTTGTGGAATTGCTTTATTAAAAAACAGAACAGAACAGAACAGACATTTTATTTGAGACTTGTACATAATACATCGTCTTGCAAATATATATATATAATACAATATATCATGTCACATGGTTATGTTAACACTTGAAAAGTATATTGATTGCACAATAATACATACTAAGTAAAACAAAGCAGGAATAGTATTTGAGATTTGTGCAAAAGTAATTCATCATACAATAAACACATATATGCAATCATATAATTTAAATTAATTATGTGCATAGGTCGAGAAACCATTTTAACAAACAGATGAAAGAAATTTTATTGTGATCAAAATCTGAAGAACATTTGCTTGTAATCATATAATTTGATATCAATTAAGATTAAACAGTATAGAGAGGATGAACATTGTGAAACAGTATACAAAGGATGAACAATGTACGTGAATATCAGTTACTTAACAGTGAAAGTCGTACGTATGTAGCGGCTATAATATATTTTGCTAGATTTGTTATTACAGTATAATTTTTATTTGTTAGCAGCTGCATCATTTTAAACACACTCGGCCTTTGAAAAAAGTATCTTTTAATGTATTTCTTCCTTATATCTTCATAACATGGGCATTTAAATAAAAAGTGAAATTCATCTTCTAAGTCTAACAAATTGCATTGCAAACAATATCTTTCATTTCTAGGTATTCTATTTCTTGAATAACGACCGGTCTGTATCCTAAGTGAGTGTGCTGATAAACGAAGTTTTGTATAATAACTTCTTAGATTAAAAGGTAAAATATCCAAATAAGTTTCATACCTTAGCTCTTGCTTAATATGTTTATAATTTTCAAGCACTGTACAATTATTTACTGATGCGTTCCAATCTTGTTTATAACAATCAACGATTCGTGTCTTAAAAATATTAGGAAATTTTTTCAAATCAACCGATCTAGGATTGAGGAAAACATCTGCAAATCCATAATCACTTAGTATTTTTTTAACGTTTGAAACCCAGTTTTTACGTCCTTTAATACAATCTATCAAACCCTGTTCATATGTCTTTTGTAAAATAATATTATCTGACTGTTGCAATTTCACCAATATTTTACAATTCTTACGTATCTTGTTATATATAGCGGGAATCTTCCTAACTCGCCGTAAACACCAGCACTTGCGGTTGAAATTCTAACATTTAAAATACGTTTGCAAAACTTAAGATGGATTCTTTCAATTACCTTTGATTTTGTGTAACCCCATAGTTCTGACGAATAGTTCAATATAGCACCAACAAATGCGTCAAATAACTGACATAACAGTAAGGGTTTTAATTTAAACTTATTACATTTTACCAAGAGCACATTCAGTGCCTTTAAAGCTTTACCTGATAAGTGCTCCTGATTCATTGAAAAATTACCGGTGTAGTTAAACACCGTTCCAAGATAATTAAAATCATTTACATTTTCAATGTTATGGCCATTGTAGGTCCAACTCTCGTTAGGTAAATAAACTCTGCGCTTTCTAAACACCATAATTTTTGTTTTCTCCGCGTTTACCTCCAAACCCCAGGTATCACAATATATGTGTAAAAGATCTAAACTGTTTTGCAATTCCGCAGGAGTCTTTCCTAGAATGACCATATCATCTGCAAACAACAACAAAATTAAAACTATGTCGTCTATACATATACCAGGGCTTTCGGGCGATTGTAGTTGCAATTCTAGATCCTCAACAAACATTGCAAAAAGTAGAGGGGACATTAACTCCCCTTGACGTAAGCCTAAGGCATAACAGAAATAGTCAGAATATGAATTACATTTCTTAACACAAGATTTGACATTAACATACATATTTCTAATTATTCTAAGCAATTTGCCTTGTATCCCCTGTCTATAAAGCTTAAGCCATAAAGCATTCCTATATATACTATCAAAACACTTTTTAAGATCTATAAAAGCTGCGTATAATCGTTTATTTTCATTTAGGAAATGTTGGATAATAGACATTAAAACAAAAGCAGCATCTACGGTTGAACGGCCTTTCATAAAACCGAACTGTGCGTCGGATATAACATTATTGCTATCACAGAAAGAAATAATTCTATTATTAAGTATGCCAGTGAATATTTTTGATCAGCAACTAACTAAGGTTATGCCACGGTAATTATTTACATCTTCCCTGTTGCCCTTTTTAAACAATGGTATAATCACACCTTCGTACCATTTTTCCAGATAAATATTAAAAAACATTTCGAGATATTTTTTTCTCACGACTGGCATATAGCTCAAATATTATATAGATACATTTAACAATTAATTTAACATGAAACATTAAACAACTGACGCTGTCATACTTTGATGTCCTCGGCCGTTTTGAAGCTATATCTATAAAAGTAACTGCAGAATAACTATCCAACACAACATCATAAATATTCCGGAAATGATGGTGAAATGTCACACTGAAGTCAGTAGCATTTGCGCAAAATTTTCATTTGATTAAAATTTTACTGTACATGAATGAAGAATAATTATGTGAAATAAAAGCGTGTTCTTCAAACAGTAGTTGCCATGAATACCATTTATTCTTTTTAAGTCGCCTTCTTGATAACGAAAGTAAAAATAAATTGTATTTCATGTACCTTGATGAAGGAGAAAAATTCCAAGAACTTATTATTCAGCGCTCGTATATTGTTCTGAATCAATAATTTCAGTTTGTCAGTCATTATAAAATGACTGAGTTGTCATAATTTTCTACTTTAATAATATCCTTTGAAACAGTTTGTGTGAAACGGACCTATATATGTGTATGTGTTAATTATTTTATTATGCATGCGATTTACTTTTATTGTCATTAGAACAGCGGCGCGTTCATCACATTTCCTCTTCAAGTTAAATATTAGTGCCGGGTTACCTAAACGCCAGGGATACGTATTAAAACAATGACAGTTAATTTTGTTTTAATTGTAAGATGATATTTCATTTCGATGTACATTCTACATTCAAAGTGAATACTTACTCTGGTTTAAATGAGTATCGTTTTACTATTATTTCTTCTCATGTATCATTTTAGTGATTAGCCTTTCCATGCTCTGACTGGCGCCCTGTCCTGTTTTTGTTTGAGGTCCTCCTGGGCTACTTGCCGCTGGTTCTTGTTGTTGGGTCGTGTGGGGGTTGCGTTCATTGGACACCGCCTTTCCATGTTGATCTTATTTATTATATTTTGTTTAAATTGCCTTAATATCCTTGTAATGCAAATTGACCACTTACCTTACGTTATTAAGTGTTGAAACAAGCATACATAGAGTTCGAGAAGAGTGCAGGGAAACATAAAATTCATAATTCGAACTTGTTCAAAAACCTTTAAGGAGCTCCAATGAGGTCAAAAAGCCTACAAACATCAAATTTGAAATTCTTACACAAAACAATGTAAAACGAGCAAAGCAATTAAAATGGAAAACATGCAAAATTATAAAAAAAGGAAAATTTACAAAGAATTATAAAGAAATATGATCAGAATTAAACATAAAAGATTTTTGTGCGATTAAGCCCCGATTTGATTGAAAAGCGTTGCAACGCTTTTTACTTTTGAGTCATTTATCACAATAGAAATGATGGTTTTGGAAAATCGAGGTGAGGGAATGATCTGAACAATTTCAAACACGCTATTAGTCCAGACCTTCATCAAACACTACATAAATCTCGAAAAAGCATTTCTTGTCCCGGCATGTCAAAATAAACCTCAATGGGATACTATTAAGAATAATTATGATTATAATTATGGTAAAAACTTCATAATTATAAATAAATGCAAATAAGATTTTTCGATTTGTTTCAGAATACTTGTTTGGCTCCGGCGAACCGTATTTTGGATCGGATCATCCAAGCTTAAATCAAATGTCCGAGTACGAGATAGATGCATTGGAGTTATGCAAAATTCAATTCATAGAAACAATCAACCCGTTCTTACTTCTTGAGCAGCTGTTCCTCAGCCATATATTATCGAAGCAAGTTTACGCCAATTTTCGTTATTTAAGAAATAATGGCGTGGATGAAAGGTTCATCTGTAGAATTTTATTTAATACTTTGCCATTTTGTATGAACTTCTGTAACCTTGTTAGATGTTTAGACAACTGTAAATATATAAATTTGTCGTCAACCCTATTCTGGAATTTGTTCAAAGTGAAAGCTAAGATATTTGTCGTGGTACAGAAAGCTTCGCCATTTCAGCGGCCCCTATTACGGGATTTTTCAAGAAAGTTGAAGAGAACAATCCATAATTCCCCTTGTACAAATAGAAAACGGCTTATGCGTTTTCTCGCAAAATTTTACAAGAAGCGAATAGTCAAAGAAACAGATACCGACAAACGTCAACTTTTCGCTGATAAATACATAACAGTTATAGCCGCTGAGATCGATGTGTGTGCAATAACATTTGATGAAAACTTACACAAAAGTACAATCTTCAAACTAATGAAAAAGATGATAAATGAAACTAGCAACACGTTAATAACAGATATTGGTGTTTATGGACGCTTAGCAAATGCTTACGCAATCGCTGGAATATTCTCTGATAGTGATGATATGTTAATGAGAGCTACGTGTATGTCCTACCATCTAGGTCCGGGCATTGAATTGTTCAATTTATTTTACACGCACGTATATGTACGGCTTTGGAAATATGAACAGTATCCTACACTTGAATTAAGAGACGCACTAATGTTTTGGGGAAGGACGGGTTTAAGAAGTTTACAAGAAGATGATAATTACTCTTTGACTGTATGGAAACGAAATCTAATAACAAGAATGGTTTATTGTCTGCTAGGGTTAGGAAACAGAACAAATATAATTAAAAATTGCATTATCAATATAGAAGGAATAAATGAGGCTAGTAAATTGTTACAAGATTTCGAGAAAAACAGGTATGGCATTGAGATAAGGCGTTTAATGCTTTATAATGTTGCAAAGGCAAGGTTTATCGAGTTAACGGAAGAAAACTATTTGAAATGTCTTCACTTTCTCCAACAAGCTGTAATGCAGGCCGAAAGTGGTCGTTTTGAAGAGCTTCGTTTCATTAAAGAATATCATACTCAAATGATGGAATCGTTTAACAACGCCATAGCTGAAAGTCTGCTAAAAGCATTACCTTGGCCTGCTATTCAATCTTCTATACATGCATATGAAGATGAGCATTATAAACACACAAAGACATTCCTCGCCAGAAATGATTTTGATTCACGTACAAATGAATTTGGTAATGCTGTAAGTTATGTAGCTATATTTTCACCTTCCTTTCAACATCACTTGCAATCAAATTCCAAAAATTCAGATGATTTGTACACGTTCGAACGTTTGAAATCACCATGCGGTACCTACTCTTCTAATGATTTCCATCAAATTAATGAATACAGTTATGGTCGGGATAACTCAACCTGTTCAACACCGTCATTTCATTCATTAGAACAAGGTGACTTTTACATTGATGTGAATTTAGAACATTTATCGTGCGAAACACCACCACACGATACAATAAGATCTGATTACTGTGATCTTGCTTGCAACTTTGTACCACAGCGATCCTCATTCTCAACACCTTCATTTCATTCATATCATTCCTTACATTGTGTAAATGAAAATGATGTCGTCTTTCTTCTTTCATCTTACTTGACAGATGATGAATACGATAATGAAGTGTTACCGACAAGATCGGCGTGTTACACTCCATCTTTCCATTCATATCATCCACATTTAGACGAGTCTCAAGTTATATTTAGCAACATACAGTCATTGAGTTCTACGCCATCAATTGCATCTAATTCATATTTACTTCATTCCGAGGAATTTGAAGCAAACATGACATCATTTCTTGCATATGCATTATCCCGAAAGGAAAAACAGAAGTATCATTCATATATCCCACGCTCGATATTATATCCACGTAACGAACCCACGGACAATCACTTCTTATTAAGAGACTCATGTACAACCCCCTCCTTCCATTCATTATATCCACGTAACGAACCCACGGACAATCACGTCTTCTTAAGAGACTCATGTACAACTCCCTCCTTTCATTCATTATATCCACGTAACGAACCCACGGACAATCACGTCTTATTAAGAGACTCATGTACAACTCCTTTCTTCAATTCATTATATCCACGTAACGAACTCATGGACAATCACGTCTTATTAAGAGACTCATGTACAATACCCTCCTTTCGTTTATTATATTCATGTAACGAACCAATGACAATCACGTCTTCGTACGAGACTCATGTACAACTCCCTCCTTCCACTCATTATATCCACGTAACGAACTCACGGACAATCACGTCTTCTTAGAAGACTCATGTACAACTCCCTCCTTCCATTCATTATATCCAAGTAACGAACCCACGGACAATCACGTCTTATTAAGAGACTTATGTACAACTCCTTTCTTCCATTCATTATATTCAGGTAACGAACTCATGGACAATCACGTCTTTTTTAGAGACTCATGTACCACTCCTTCCTTCCATTCATTATATCCACGTAACGAACTCACGGACAATCACGTTTTATTAAGAAACTCGTGTAAAACACCCTCCTTCCATTCAAGATATTCAAGTAACTAACACATGAACTATCACATCTTATTAAGAGACGAGACTCATCTACAACTGAACTCCCTCCTTTCATTCATTTAATTTACGTAACGAACACATTGACAATCACGTCTTATTAAGAGACCCGTATACAACACCCTCCTTCCATTCATTATATTGATGTAACGAACACATGGACAACAACGTCTTAATAAGAGACACTGGTACAACACACGTTTTTGATTTATCATATTTACGTTTTGAACACATGGATAATCACGTCTTATTAAGAGACCTGTATACACAGACTTTTTCCATTCATTATATTCACGTAACGAGCACATGGACAATTATGTCTAATTAGAAGACACTTGTACAACTCCATTTTTCAGTTAATACATTCACGTCATGAACACAAATACAATTACATCTTGTTTATACAGAACATTGTACAACTCCTTACTTTAATTCATGGTATGCACGTAACGACAAATGGACAATCACATTTTAGAAACCCTTGTACATCTCAAAATGTTGAAAATGAATTAAGAAATAAAATATTATCAAGAGAATAAAGAAAGCAGTTTACACTTTACAAAAAGAACGTTCAATCCAAGTAAATCGATAAATAAAGGTCAAAATATGCAATAATAGCCCTTACTGCGTTAGTCACACAGTAGAAATATGGTGATAGATACTGCAAATTCAGTCATTGAATATAATATGTAAATCATTAAATGAATTGTGCACATTTTTCTCTTCTTTAGTTCGCTTTCCCTCGAAATGTTTTGGCTCATCTGGAGGCATGCAGTTATATAAGATAACTTTTACAACTTTCTCCTACCGTTTCATTATACATTTTTGTATTCTGGTAACGAACCCATGAACAATAACGTATTGAGAGACCTTTCATTCATCATATTCAGGAAATTTAACAGATGAATAGGTAGTTCAGACAGAGGGAGAAATAAATTTAGAACATAACAATTATGGTATTTTTAGATCAGATTATTGTGTTGAGCACGATTGTATTATTATTATTATTATTATGCCATCTTCGCATCGTTCTGCATTCAGTAAATGTCGGTGTTTTGTTTTGCTGTTGTTTTGCTTTCATTAGACTTGCAGCAGGAAAGTATGAAAGTTTAAGTAAAGAAAACCGTACAAGTCCATTTTGTGTCAATTTTGAACCACACATTGCTCATTTTATGATGTTAACAGACGCTTCTTACAAGGCAGCAGCAGCTGCCAAACCAGAATTTTTTTATATGTCAGAAAGTGATAAACTTGTGTTTCTTTTTACAAACACCGCCATAATTAGAATATGTACCAAAACCTGTAAGACATATCAATCTTACTTATTTGTAAACAAAAATCTTTACATACATGTAGTTTCTATTTGTTTGGGTCGTCAGACCAAACAAATAATGGTAGCGAAATTTCAGACCCTGATGTTCTTATTTGCAAATGCCGAAAGTAGTCCAAACTTCTCGAAGCGGTTACTTCCCTTCATATGTACACTATCGCCGAAAAATTAAGGGGAGATCACTTCGTAAAGATTGTCAAATGACAGACGCATTAATTTTAGTGACGAAAAAATAGTTCCCGATTGGTCGAAGATTTCTTATATTGTGTTATTCTTATAGATATATATGCTTGTATTCAGCTCCATGATCATGAAATCCCCAGGTTCACAAATGCACTTCAGTGTTAAACGACAGGTTTACCAAAACAGCATATAATAAAACCAAACGTTTCAATAAAATGAAATATAATAACGATGAAAAACAAAGGCTTGCAAAACTAATTAAAGCTAACCCAAAAGAATTCTGGAGAAAAATGAAAAATCAATATACAAAAAAAAGTAAAGGAATTGCCGAAAATCTTGATATTCAGGACATACATGAACATTTTAAATCATTAAACAGTACCGAAAGTATAAATGAAAACGAAAGTTTAAATGAATCTGTAAATGATGAATATCTAGACCAAATGATTTCTTATATGGAACTTAAAAATGCTGTTTTCTCACAAAAAAATAATAAAAGCAGCGGCTTTGATACTCTGCCAGCAGAGCTTTTTAAACATACATTTACTCAAATTGCACCCTTTATGTTCCACTTATTCAACCATATTTTACTACCGGACAATATCCTGAATCGTTTGGCGAAGGAATAATAATACCTAAATACAAAGGAGGGGACATAGAAAACTACAGAGGAATAACTCTAATTAATATTATATCAAAAATCTACTCTCAAATTCTGTTAAACCGCTTGACGAACTGGACTCAAACAAACGAAACAATCATTGAAAATCAATTTGGCTTTCAGGCAGGTAAATCAACAATTGATTGCGTCTATATTTTACATTCAATTATAGCTAAAACTTTGTCGTTAAAGAAAAAATTATATTGTTGTTTTATAGACTTCGAAAAATGCTTCGATAAAATTACGAGATCTCACTTATTTCATAAACTAATAACAGAAAATGTAAGCTCCCGATTTGTTAATTCTATAAGAGCTATGTATAATACAGTGAAAGCATGCGTAAGATATAAATCAGAAAACTCATCTTTTTTTCACGTCAAACATTGGAGTTAAACAGGGAGATCCCAGTTCCAGTCTGATGTTCTTATTTTTCGTAGATGACATTCTTTTGAATATAAATAGTAACATAGACGGCATCTGTTTTGTAGATGACGTCAAATTATATTTATTGCTTTTTGTCGATGATGCTGTCATTTTTGCAGAAACACCACATGCATTACAGTCAATACTTAATGACTTACAATTATACTGCGGTCTGTGGGATTTAAGAGTAAATACATCTAAAACAAAAATAGTTATTTTCGAAAAAGGACGAAAAACAACGCATTCTTTCATTTTTAATAACGTAGTGTTAGAAATCGTGGATTCGTTCAAATACTTGGGAATAACCCTATTTAAAAACGGCAACTGGAATAGAACACAAAAACACATAGCAAAACACTCTCTATATGCACTTCATAATTTATTTATTATTTATAACCAATTAAATCTCAATACAAAAGAAAAATGTAACTTATTCGATGGTCTTGTAGGATCAATTCTAAATTATGGCTCAGAAATATTTGGATACCATAGTGCAAATGATATAGAAGTGATTCATAATAAATTCATGCGGAAAAAAAATATTACACGTTCGTAAAAGTACAAACCTTGTTGCATTATATGGTGAACTAGGAAGGTATCCTATGATGATACAGCGTAAAATAAATTTAATTAGATTTTGGATACGAATAGTAAAATCAGATGATAATAAATTACTTAAAATGGCATACAATATGCTTAAAGATGATTTTATTGATAGTAATAACTATAACGGTCTTAATTGGGTTGGACATGTTCAACAAATTTTCGATGAAATAGGTATGTCAAACATTTGGCTATCCCAAAATGCTGACATCGTATCTTTACAAACTATTAAACAAAGAATAATTGATATATATAAATAATCATGGGATGCTGAATTACAACTTCAAATAGATTACAGTCATATAGCTGGTATAAGAAAGAATTAAAAGTAGACCGATATTTAGATGTAATACCTAATAGTAAATTTAAAACAGCACTGACAAGATTCCGACTGTCATCTCATGATTTAATGATTGAAAAAGGAAGACATTTAAATATTCCCAGAAATGAAAGAATATGTTCAAATTGTAATATGAATGTTATAGAAAACGAGTACCGCTTTCTTTTAGTATGCCCAAAATATACTAACTTAAGAAAAACCTACTTCAATCCATATTTTTGCCATTGGCCTACTAAGCAAACATTTATCTCACTTATAAATTTAGACTCTGATAAAAGTATTTTGAATGTCAGCAAATTTATATACAAAGCTATCCATATGCAATAATTCTTCTTTATTCCAAAACGAATTTCATCATCATAACCTGATGTTCACTGCTTTGTTTTCTTTTTATCTTTTGTAAGTATTTAAGTTAATGTAAACACAATGAAATGGATCTCCATAGTATATTTGAATTGTTTTACAAAAATGTATTCAATTAACACAAATGTTGCTCGTAACAAGAGAAAAATATTCTTTGTAATATGTTTTACTATAGAAATAACACAACAGATAAATGGTAATAATGATGAGAAATATTGTTAAGGAAATACTGTAAAAATTAATTATGTTCACTCTGCTAAAAAATAATAATTTAAGATTTATTTGTTTAAATCATTTGCATATATTCTCTGTTAACCATGTACTTGCCCTTATATGTTTGTATTATATATTGAAATGGCTATAGATGTTGTAACATGTAATGCTGAATAAATATTATGTTATGTTATGTTATGTTTACCGTGAACAAAAAATACGCCTATTTTCAATTAAATAAAGCATTTGAGGTTGAAAAATATTAAAAATTTGATATATATCGAAATTAAAAAGGGTTACAGACTCTAATTAAGAATAATATGGTATTCTTCAGGCTGTTATCTTATAACTCCCCGTGGTCGATGGGTTTACGCTCGCTTTGGAAGCGAGAGGTCTTGAGTTCAAACCCTAGTTCGGGCAAATCATTTTTAAGAAACATTAAATTGAATATCAGTGAAGTGTCGCAGTTAGTATTATAGCCAATTTACTATAGTTATAACACTGGAAACAGCATTGGTGACACTATACAAACAAATTGGTTTAAAATCTCACAACCTTCACCTTTCTAACATTCTTAGACCAAAATAAATTCAGCGCCATCTGTGCTTTGACTTTAAATACTTACAGTGCATGTTATATACCCACGCAAGGAATAGATGCCAATCAGTTTAACATCAAGCTGATTGGGGTGACAGTTTTTTAATATAGTAAATATTATCTAGGACATAAGTGCTCCTCTCATTATGTTACCACATTCTTACGTGTTTGTATTTACACTGTTTTACAATAGACAGCTTTGTCATGACTTGTTCATGTGTTTTGTAAGATGATAAGGTTTTTTAAGAATTTATATTGTGTATTCTATTATAGATGGAACATTAATAAAAATGAAACAACAATCTTCCACTCGTTTTATTCATTCAACGTGTAATACCGCTTCCTTCAAAAGACCCAACTGAAACATATATTTAGGGTCGTACGTGTCCGATTGGTTTAGAATGTTGACCTCATACCATGGCATGTCAAGCAGTCCTGTAAAGTTGTATGACTCTAGGTCAAATACTTTTGAGCTAGACAAGACACAAATTGAAAAATGTAAATCTTTTACTAAATCAACTGCAATAATTCTAAAAAATACTGAATAAAACCTCATCAAACCCCCAGGAGCACAACTACACGTGGTGCTGAACAACAAACCAACATTTCTGTTTCATGCCTCCAAGTCAGATACTTTTTTGACTTGCTAGACAAGTTAAGAATTGCAAATTTTAACTAAGTCAAGGGCAATAACTTAAAGATATTCTATGCTCATCCGTGCGTAAAATATTTTTATCATAGAAATTTATTGAAATCTATGTAATTCTTATCGAATATGTCCAATCTGAATAAAAGAATGAATAAATTATGTATTGTAATCTGTGTTCGCTATTATAAGTCAAGTAGAATTGGTCTTTTCCTAAAAAAACTGCCAGTCTTTTTAATGATACTATATATTCATATTATGACCACCTATAGTGTGTAGAATTTTAACCACAACATATCTACTTTGGGTGAAGTTAATACATAGTTATTTTATATTACAAAAGAGACTGTGTAGCAATAATAAATATTTTCAAATATGAAATTTGAGCATAGCATCTCTTTAACAAATACAGAATAAATCTACGAGCAAATCCCAAGGTTCACAAATGCACATCCTGACCAAATTTCTGTAATGTTTCATGACTCTAGGTCAAATATTACACGCGGCAAAATTGAAAATTGCCAATTTGTACTAAGTCAAGAGCAAATACTCCGACAAAACTGAATTAATCCACATGCAAATGTTAACTCACATGATCCCTAAATATAGTATAAATATACGCTTTGCTTGAATGAATAGCTGGCTGGGCAATCTAGTGGGACATTCCTTAAAATAGTGTACAAAAAGCTTTTTTTGAATGCTCAGATGGTAGAGAGTTCTAGCGAGGCATTCATCAGTATCGTGTAAAAATGATAGCTGCCAGAGCAAACTAGTGGGGCATTCTAAAACATAGAACAAAGAAATGCTCTGCTGGAATGCTCATTTAGCAGAGCAATGTTGCGGAGCATTCCTAAAGATAATGT